TATGTTAATATATGAAAAGAAAATATGAAAAGAAAGAAATGCGCCCAAACGTACTTTTATAAAGGGAAATATTACGCCCAAACGTGTTATGGATTTACGGCATTTACGCCCTAATTCCTAAAGTGTTCTGTTTTGGGTAAATGCGCCCAAACGTATTTCCCCCAAMTTTTTCATACCTTTTTTATCTGCACATAGAAGATAGAASATACGAGAGATATACTAAAGTACTAAACCTATAAATAATAAGTGGCGGGAGAATACGCGGGCTGGTTAGCCGGTTACGGTCAACTATACTAGACAACAGTAGTAGGTCCAGTACCTACCTTTTAATTTAATCTCTAAAATTATAATATTTTTCTTATAATTTATATACTTAAATAACTTTTATGAAGGCTTAATTCTTATTAAATAAATCCATAGATATACAATAACATATGTGATATGTGTACGAATACAATTTATTCAAAATATTTGTAAAATTATTATATATATTTTTATTGTTATATTAAGTAATTTTTCATGATTTTTTCCATTTATAACAGATTTTAGATAGTTTTTGAATAATAGCATTGACATACAACTAAATAGGTTTATTCATAGACATAGCAGCTAATTTATTCAGCCTAGTTGTCTACCCTGACAAATAAAAAATTTATACATTTCTAGTAAGTGAATAATTAAATAATTAAATTAAACTTGTTAATAATTAAATAAACTATTTTATGAATAAGTCTTAATACAATACTAACTCGAAAATGTGAGTTCTGGTGTAGCTGTCAATACAGGAAGTGTAGATAGTAGAAGACAGAAGTCGATAGCTATATATAGTTACCTACACAAAAAAGGATCATTGCTGTCTAAAAATTCAAATTAGTTGATGACATTTTATTAAATTCTAAACTTGGCTGCTACCAGTTAATTTCAAGTGGTACAACTTGATAATAACTTATACTAATTGTGTTGTTGAAAAATTGTAAAGTATATTTTGAACTAACAATAATTAACTAYACAAAAAAATGGTCTGATGGTGATATATTAGCCCCTCCTCACTAGGTAAGCTACTGTATTTACCATATAACTATGTATAACTAAAAATTATGAGTTCACAGAGTAATCAATATCTATACTAAGTTATAATTAAATTGTAATTTATTATAAGTACTTAATATTATATCAATCAATCATCTATGTAAATAATGAAGTTAGACTTAACTGTTCAAGGATKCCACACTACCCCAAGTTTCTTATATTATGTAGAAATGATAGAACTTAGCAAAAGTCTTTTTTAAGGCCAAAACATCTAAATAGCAGATATTATAAAAGGTAATTAAAACAAATAACAATATTTTGAGGTTTCCTATGTTTTTATAAAAAGAGTTTTAGTAGGCTTAATAAGGATTACTTATTAAGAAAAAATATTACAAGATATTATATAGTTGTAGTATTTTATTAAATTTAAACATTTTAAGAGTACCTATACAAATTTAACAACAAATTTAAAAAAGTTCATAAGAATTAAGAATACTTGATGTTAAATATTTAATATAATATTTATCAAAGTATCGATCCATTCAAAAAATACAATTTAAAACCTATATAGGTACTATTTACAATATCTGTCTGCTTTTGTCTTTGCTCTTCTGTCTAATAATGATTCGTGTAATTTTCCTTCTTTTTGAGCTTTCTTTAATTCACTTCTTTTTCCTTCGATCATACGCATCTTCTTATCTTGAAATTTTTGGAACATTTTTCTAATAAAATAATAAACATGATTATAAAATAATACATTTGGATATGTTATGCAGACTAAAAAATTAGCCCCATGGTTTAGTAATATCATACTAAGGATAAAATATCAATGAGAAAATTATAAATTTAAATTTAATGTGTATCATGTATCTTTATTAATGTTAATGTTAGCCAATAACCTTAGTWGTTAAGGCTTAAATAAATAAATAAAAAAATATATATAAATTTAACTATTTATAATAAGATAATCATGTTTAAAATATGTAATACATTTTATAAAGAAATTATGAGAATGCTTACACATAATTTTTTTCTATATCTTTAATATTCCCTTTCTTTTCGTCCAATTTATTAATCTCTTGTTCTGTATTTTCAATAGCATGGAGTCTAACTTTAACTAATTCATTTGGACCAACAGTTCGATTCTTTGCAACTAAAGAGTCATCTTCATCTCGTATACTTATAAAACATCCAGTAGAAGATAGTATTGCCAGCTTATTATCCTGTAATTATTCAATAAAATAAAACTTACATCATTATTTTTATAAGTCTTCAGTATTACTAACAAACTATAACGTTTAAAAACTAAAGTAGATGTGTTTGATATTTTAAATAGTTAGGAAAAGAAACAAAAATCTTTTGGTTGATGTTGATTAAATAAATGATTAAAACAATAGTCCGCACAACGAAAACTAGTCGGTGAGTCGCGTCGACTATAATAGCGTTTTTAAAAATTAATTTATGAACTTGTTATATTATATTAATTAATTATTATACAAACTATGAGAGCAAAATGTTATAAAAAATTATTT